GGCAGCTGGTTGGCAGACAGGCCTGTCAGTCTCTTCCCCTCTCTCCCCGCCCCCCGGCCAGCCGGGCAGTAGCATCAGGAAGAGTCTCACGCAGGACAGGGGTAGGTGCGGTGCTTGCGCCCCCTCCTTCCCCCGCCCCTCAGGACCGACCCGGCGCGCGCAGGGGGCGGGCGACGCGAATCCCTTGCGAAGGGAAGCTTGCGGCTGCTGCCTCCCGCCGGGGTGGGGGCTGTTCCTGAGAGAGCGCCCCCTCCCCCCGCCCGTTCTAAACCGCCCCCGTCTGCTCCACGTGCGGCAGAAGGCTCAGCGGGAGCCCCTCCCCCAGCGGCCGCTGGCCCACCGCCCCCCCCCGCCCCACGCCCCTTCCCCTGGAGGCCCTGCCCGCTCCTCCGTCCTGCCGCTCATGCTGGGTGCATCAAGCCATTCCCATTGCATCCTGGGGGCTCCTGGGCTGGGGAAGCCACAGTTCAGTTTCCTGCTCATCACAGACCTGCTGTGTGGGGAAGTCACTTCCTCTCGCTTCACCTCCATGTGCCCATCTGTAAGATGGGGGTTTTATACTCAACACCTGGAGGCCCTGCCCGCTCCTCCGTCCTGCCGCTCATGCTGGGTGCATCAAGCCATTCCCATTGCATCCTGGGGGCTCCTGGGCTGGGGAAGCCACAGTTCAGTTTCCTGCTCATCACAGACCTGCTGTGTGGGGAAGTCACTTCCTCTCGCTTCACCTCCATGTGCCCATCTGTAAGATGGGGGTTTTATACTCAACAAGGCTGTGTCTAGACTGGCCAGTTTTTCTGGAAAATCAGCTGCTTTTCCGGAAAAACTAGCCAGCAGACTGCACTGGCCGCTTGAATTTACGCAAAAGCACTGACTTCCTACTGTCTGAAATCAGTGCTTCTTGCGGAAATACTCCCATTCAGGCAAAAGTCCTTTTGCCCAAAAGGGCCAGTGAAGACAGCTCAGATTTGTTTTCTGCAAAAAAGCCCCGATCGTGAAAATGGCGATCAGGGCTTTTTTGCGGAAAAGCACATCTAGATTGGCATGGACGCTTTTCTGCAAAAAGTGCTTTTTTTCCCCGGAAAATCATGCCAGTCTAGACGTAGCCCAAGAGTTTTGGGACCTTCATTATTTCTTCTTCAGCAGAATAGGGATGTGCAACCACTTACATGTTTAACTGATGAGCCTGGGGGTCCACGGTGTCACGCAGCCTCCCCCCCCACATACAGAGGCAGCAGCGTGGGTGGGGGAGCAGGGAACTGGTGCAAGTGGGAAGCCAGTTTTTAAGCCTGCCCCTCTAGTAGCAGAGGCAGCAGTGCAGGGTGGACAGGTAGGAGCCAGTGTGCACTGAGCTGCCTGCTCCCTCCACAATGCATATAAATGAAATTTTCAGCAGTTACACTATGACATAGTGAAACACATTTTAACATTCCTAGATCAGAGTGAACATTGCTTTGTGATTCTGCAAGATTAATGGCCTTATGTTGCCATTTTATGGGCTTGTATCTCTATTTTTACTGCCTAAGTGTAGGCTCTTGGGCACAAAGATAGGCAATTACTTGGCAGGGTTGTTCTTGTGTCAGTGTGTTCTTCAGTTGTGTCTCTCCCATCCCCTCAGACTCCAATAGTCATTGGAATGCTCATGATACAAGTCATGTTTTTCTGTGTCTCAAAATTGCTGCAGCAGTAAACTGTCCAAGGGTCTTTCAAGAGGATTCGCTGCTTAATAGTTTCGTCACTAAAATGTAATTTGCCTTTTTTTATCTTTTACAAAACCTTATGTTTCCATTTTTTATCTTTAATTACAGTTCTTAGTTTTGGTTTGAATGTAAACTTTCCCCTGTTTCATTTGCAATCAATATCTTGTGACCTTGTGTCACAGTAGATGATAATTTGAAAGTGAAACTGCATGTAAAATAAGTTATCATAATGAAATAGTTAAGGGATTCTCAAACGCTTTAATAAAATATGTATTTTTAAATGTCTTTAGTGTGATATTGTATGTTTTGAAAGAAGTTTGTTTTAATTTCTTCCCCTCTTCTACCTTTTCTTTCTCATCTGAAAACAAGAACAATTAGCACTATGCAGACACGCCAAAAAGTGTGTCATGATCCAGAGATCATCAAGCATGCTGGATTTTCATTACATAGATTTTAAGAAATGCAAAAAAAAATGCAAAAAAAAAGTATAATAAGTACAAAATAACCCTTTTTCCCATTCTTTGTTTGAATGGGAGATGTGGCCTTTTGGACTGGATTTCAGCTGGAGCTCCTGAGTTCTAGTTCCACTTTAGGGCTTGTCTATATTTCAGAGTTAATGCCAGTTAAGGTAGGTCAGTTAATGTGAATTTAAAGTGCAATAAGCTGTTCCCAGCCAACTCTGTGGCTACGTCTACACTGGCCCCTTTTCCGGAAGGGGCATGTTAATTTCAGAAGCCGTAATAGGGAAATCCTACTTCAAAGGAATAAGATCTTTTCCGGAGGATCGGGGCCAGTCTAGATGCTCTTTTCCGGCTTTTTTAAAAGCCGGAAAAAAGCGGCGGACATTTTTATTTAAATGCCGCGGGGGATATTTAAATCCCCCGCGGATTTCCCTACGACGACTCATGAAATTTACATGCCCCTTCGGGAAAAGGGGCCAGTGTAGACGTGGCATGTATGTATATACTCTTATTTTGGAACAAGTATGCCTTGTTCCTATTTAGTATTACCCCCAGGCTGTGTCTACATTGGTGCGATCTTGCGCAAAAGCGGCTACGCCAAAACTTGCTGCTTGTCTACACTGGCCGCGAGTTCTTGCGCAAGAACACTGAAGTTATAATGTATGAAATCAGTGCTTCTTGTGCAAGAACTCTGATGCTCCTGCTCAGGAATAAGCCCTCTTGCGCAACTGTTTTTGCGCAAGAGGCCAGTGTAGGCAGGCAACGTAAATTTCTTGAGAAAGAAAGCCCAATGGCTAAAGTGGTCATTGGAGCTTTCTTGCACAAAAGAGTGCGCAAAAGCACAGCTCTTGCGCAAAAGCACATGCCAGTGTAGACGCTGTCTTCTGGAAGAGTTTTTGCACAAGAACTCTTCCACAAGGTCATGCCAATGTAGAAGTAGCCCCTGTGACACTCTTGTTCCAGAATAAGTGACCACACATGGAGTTGGTCGGGAACAACTTTGTGTAAATACTCTCTTAAACTTGCTACTGCCATCTCAGCCTCACTGCCTTAGTTTTTTCATCTGTCAAATGCCTGTAATAATGCTTGCTTCTCTCTTGAGATGTTGAGGATGGATTGATAGGTTTGAAAAGAGCTAATTATTAATAATCTAGGATATTATAAGGTACACATGTATATAATAATATACAGGTTGGACCACCGTGGTCCAACACCCTTGGGACCTGACAGGTCCTGGACCAGGAGAGATCATTTCTGCCCCTCCTCCCAAGACTGGCACCCCCAGCCATGGCCTGGCTGCCAGCCTCCTAGTTGGCTGCCCCCTGCCGCTGGTCCTTCTGTGCCCAGGGTTACCGGCCTCAGTGTGGTAGCTCCACCTCGGTGGCAGCAGGGCTGCTGGGTTCCTGGTTATGCCGTCAGGCAGCAGCTCCGCTTCTAAGTGCCTCCTGGTGCTGACAAGCTGTTTTGCTTCAGGGCAGCAGCTGTGCTATAGGGCTCCAGCTGTGCTGCTGGGCAGTGTTATCACTGGGCAGCAGCTTTGCTGCCTCCCGTTTTACTGCCACAGGCCTGCTGCAGGGCTCCCAGCCACCAGCCCTCCATGGGACTCTCTGGTCCTGGAACATCTTCTGCTCTCAGTTGCTGAACCAGAGAGTCATAAACAACTAAGGAAATATTGTTTAAAATTTTTTAACTTTAAGTGAAGCTGCATAGTTGAAATCGTATAAGTATCATTGAGGCTTTTTGTTTGCAGAGTTTTAGATTCCTTTCATGCTCAAATTATGTTAAAAAATGGGTTGCAGACTCCCTATATAAATATCTTGCTTTACTTATTTTGTGTTCATTTGCACATTGTTATAAACAACTAAGGAAATATTGTTTAAAATTTTTTAACTTTAAGTGAAGCTGCATAGTTGAAATCGTATAAGTATCATTGAGGCTTTTTGTTTGCAGAGTTTTAGATTCCTTTCATGCTCAAATTATGTTAAAAAATGGGTTGCAGACTCCCTATATAAATATCTTGCTTTACTTATTTTGTGTTCATTTGCACATTGTTCTTCGTTGCTTATCTACTATATATTTGAGAGAGTTTGTCAGTGAGCAAGCGAGTCTGTCTGTCCGTCTGTCTGTCCATTTGTTCAAGGACTCCTAAACGGTAAGAGCTAAGTCCACCAAATTTGGTATACAGCTTCCTCTTAGTATAACTTAAAGCAAGGTAAGGGGTTGGTTGTGCTTATGGGGACTCGTACAACAATAAGACAGAATCGCCGGGCAGGTGAAAGGGGTTGGGTGGGGGCACCTTCACCGCCCTCTACCCTCCCCTCCCTCCATCCAGAACTGCTTCAGCCTCATGCCTCCCACCCATCCAGGTACTTTTTAGAGAGGTGGTTGTGGGCTGAAGATCCCCCATGCTCCCATTCATATGGGAACATTGCTGATTTCCCATTTGTCAGGGAGTAAGGGGAAAGTGCACAGCTTGTTCCATTTCCCAATCTGGTTGGTGAGCTCAGAGGGCAGACGTATCTGGACTTGCCCTAGCTGGGAGACATCCACCCTAGCTGTACTTGCTGGAGTGCAGCAGCCTTGGAGAGGTGCTTCTCACCCTGTCTCAAGGTGCTGTGCTGAGAGAGGGGTTGAGTGGTTCTCACTCCCTTGGGAAGCCTGCATACTGAGCCCCTCATCCGTAGCCCCACCTCAGAGCGATGATTTAAATGAAGAACACCAAAAAATAATTTAATTAAAGCCATGAGCATTTCCAGATAAATTTTCTAGTTTATTTATAACTTGGCTACCCCTCTGAAGCATATTTATTTGTGATTCTGGAGAAGCAGGAAAATTGTGTTGGCCATTATGAACTCTTACTGTAGAAAAAATGCTACCTGCTAGCATTTTTATCAGGTCTACTTGTGTTTATTACTGCAATATCTGTCTGACCTGGAAGGTTAAGTTCAGACAAAACACATGTTTCTGAGCATGTTCTGGAAATCAGGAATGTACTCTAATAAATAAATAAATATGCATTGGCAGCAGTTTGCTTTGCATGTTAGCTAGTAGTCTCCTAAGATAAATCTATTAGATATGCAAGGAAGTAACAACTTCTCTGATTTCATTATTTTGCCCACGAGTAAGAAAATAGAATCTGATGTATGTGTATAGTTACTGAAATTCTAAAAGAAGTTTTGTGTGAGCTTTCAGATTCTAAAGTAAATGTCACCTGTTTAGATCTTTACTATGTATTTTGTTTTGACAGTTATTGAAAATGTAATTCTGGTCAGAAGGATTACTTTATTATCTATACATCATTGTGAAGCCACATAGAGTATTTTAGTTTATTTCCTAAATGTTCCTCAGTATCTTTTTTCTGTGAAAATAAATATGAAAATAATAAGTTTAGTTAGTTTCACTGATGATACTGACAATGCTGGATGCTGTGAAACTGACAATCATGTCAAATTCAATCTTATCTGGGCAGCATTTGAGGTGCAATGGAGGAAGGTATTGGAATTTGTATGAGGAGGAGTTGGGAAAGCTGGGTGAGGAATAGAATTGTGATGACCCAACTCTTGTATTAACCAGTTGATTGGGAAAAGGCTAACCTAGCAGACACCTATAGCAGCCAGGAAGCTCTGTGGTTGGGGTTGGGATGAAGGTGAATCCTCCTCCCTTCCAGCTGTCAGATGGGTATAGAAGGGACTTCATATTTATCAAGCACTAAATCCATTAACAATAGGTTTAGGAGCAGGTACTAGGAATGTTAGAGGGTAATTGAATAGTCGAATAACCACGTGAATTCTTATTGGTTATTCAAGTATTCTATAGTCCCTAGGGGTGGGGCTGGCAGCCATAGCTCTCAAGACCCACTCCTGGGGAGTCCCCGCCACACCATGCTGCTGCCTCTGTATCAGAAGCAGCAGAGCGGGGAGCCAGTTTTCAAGGGGAACCAGTTTAAAAACCAGCTCCCTGCGCAGACTGGCTACCTGACGCCCACACTGCTGCCCCTGATACAAAGGCAGCAGCCCCTGTCCACAGGGCTGGGTCCAAACTCCCAGCAGACAGATGCTGCTGTGAGGCAGAAGGGAATGGGAGAGGCTGCTACAAAGCCTTCGGGTGGTCTGAGCTCCCCCCAGACAGAGGCTGCTTTGGTAGCAGCCTCCGCCCTATGCTGCTGCCTCTGATAGAGGTTGTAGCTCCTCCGAGCACCATGTCCTGCTTCTTCCCCTTCCCCCTTGCTGCCTCTGTGTCAGAGGCAGCAAAGTGGGGAGGGGAGGAAATGCATGCGGTCAACAAGATTAACCGATAAATCTAGGCTTATCGGTTAATTGTATTGTCAACTGCATGTTGACATCCCTAGCAGGTACTGGTGCCAAAATCTTGGTAAGAATCCCAGTACTCTACGTTTCATCAGTTGGGGGTAATTGCTGTGCTCCTTACTAGAAGAGTAATCACAGAGTTTACTAGTGGGTTCATTTTTAATAATGACTTGCTGCGGATAGACAAGCAGGTGTCTCATAAGTTTTCATTCTTTGTCTATCAATAGCTGCTTTTTTTTCAAGAGCAGTAAAATATTAATATGCAAACCAATTCTATGAAGCTCATATCTCACTGACACAATAAATTTAAAAGACTTCAGTGTGGGAAAATCTATCATTTATAAGGCATTAATATTACTGGAGATACGTTGGCTTACGTTCTACATATCTTTGCTGAAGTTTAATTTAAGTAACAATTGTATTATTTTCTAGTTTTCAGATTTAAGCAGATAAAAGATTGTAGCAGGAGATCTGTATTATATGTGCAAAATGCTACGGGCAAAGACATTCTTGCATCATGAATATGAATAATTTATACCGACAACCTACAGAAATCTATGAACGTATTAACACAAACATAAAAGAAAATGAATCCAATCTGGCAGGGAGAGAAGAATATAGATTTCACTTCATTGGAGTGTAGGCATAACTCTGTGAGGAATGGACAGCCATATAACTTTGCCTTTAATCTTCATGTACTGTGTCACAACCAGTTGTGTGGATCCTTCAATTGGTATATTTTGAGTCTCATTCTTGTTTGTTGAATGGCAGTTGCTCTTGTAGACTCTTGCATGCTATTTCTAGGCAAATAAAGTACAAAGATTTATATCACTGTGACTAAACTAAATATATTGAAGTCTCATAGCAAGGCAATGCATAGCTATTGTTTGTTTCTGAAATACAACATTTCAGTGATGCTTTTGTGGTTTTGTCCTACCTACTGGTGCTATAATTCTTAGTCCTCCCCTAAACATGGTCTGGTTGAAAAGTGAATGTATGTAAATTACTAATGTTGTAGCCATTTCCTTACACACTTGGTGGATCACCCTAAAGCAGTGGTTTTCAAACATTTTTCTGGCGACCCAGTTGAAGAAAATTGTTGATGCCCATGATCAATAGAGCTGGGTATGAGGTTTGGGAGGGGGCTTTGGGCTGGGGCAGGGTTGGTGTGCAGGGGTCAGGGCTGTGGGTGGGGCTGGAGATGAGGGGTTTGGGATCCAGAAGGGGGTTCTGGATTTGCAGGAAGCTTGGGGTAGGGGATTGAGGCACAGGTTTGGGAGGTGGGCTTAGGTCCTGTGGCTCCCAGTCAGTGATGGAGCGGGGGAGTACAGTGGTAGGCTTCATGCCTGTTCTGGTGCTGCAAACTACGCAGCTCTCAGGAAGCAGCCAGCACCAGGTCCGGTTCCTAGGCAGAGGCATGCAAGCAGCTTTGTGTGACTCTTACCTGCAGGCATTTCCCTCCTTGGGCTCTTATTGGTCCGAGCAGGGGCAGCACATGGAGCAGAGTGGCTTTTTTGACTGCCTCAGAGTCCCGGCAGCCACGGAGCCTCAGCCCAAGAATCCGTGTCAGCCCTAGAAGCTGTGGAGCTTTGTCAGCTCTAGAGCGCTAGCCTAGGGAGCCATGGCCAGGCAGACAGCAGCAGGGTTCGGCTGCAGTTCTACCCAGTGGCAGCATGGGCCATGTTGGGAGGGACCTTCCCTCATTCGACAAATCCCCTTGTTCAGGACCAGTCAGGTCCTGAGGATGCAGGACAAGGGAGGCCCAACCTGTAATTGTTGGGTTAAAAAGAAGCTTAGGTCACCATAAATAAAATGTCACTTCCACATGCAGTCCACATTAGCAGCCTTGGACAAATTTTCTAAATTGCTGTCACCAAGATCCTCTCCCTAGCTACTTCAATAATTAGGAAATTATTCCTAGGAAATATCAAAGTGACTATCTGTTGTGGGTAAGATCTGACAGTTATTTCTGTGTCCTTACAACCCAAGTGAAGAGATGAGAGCGGGATTAGGACAAACATTTGGATGACTGGGTCTCTATTTGGGAAAGTGGATATATCTTTTCAAATTGTATGGCTTCTATAAAGATTTTTTTTTTTTATAAATTACAAACAAGATGGCATTTGACTCCAGTGAAGATCCGTTATATTTCTGCTACTCGGAAAGCACCGTGATGGAGTGTTTATGGGAGAAGGATAACATGCTTGCATATGTAGTTCTTGTATCAAGGAATTAGATGGATTGGGTAGGAAATTATTAGAGATTCATCTTACAACAAAATCCTACTTATTAAAGGTATTTTTTGTTAGCAGCTAGATTCTGTATTTTACACAATTAGGAATGTGACCCATTCTCCTGGGGAACTGTAAGAGAAAAAATATGGGCTGTGTTTGTACTCTAAAAGCTTTTACACCAAGTATGTGCACAAGAAAAGTGCTTCAAGATAGGATAGGTATCTAGAAATTTGGTCACCCATTTTAGCATACTCAGAGGAGAGATGCTCTCATTGGCAGGCCAGAATCTTTAGCTAGATTCTTTGAATATTGGAGTCTGAATAAGTAACATAGGGTGTATTTCTGGTTAAAGTTAATTTTGCCTTAATAAAATGCACTGTTCTGTTGTAATTAATGGCTGCAGTACCATACATAAATCATGGAGAAAGTGGTAATGAGAGGATTAGATATGGACTTGTACATTCTGAGAGGGAGATCAGTGAAGGAGGGAAGGAAGGAAACAGGAGCTACAAGGAGTTGAAATGAAATGAAGAAATTATAAGAACCATCAGCAACTTAAGGGTAAGACAGAGAAGGAAGCATAGTGGGAACCAACATAGGATTTTGATACAAATAGACAGACAACGAGCGTGCTAGTGGAAAAGTTGGAAGGAATGTGATTTTTTGGGAACCCTCTAAGTAAGAGCTGGATCTTGGATTTATATCTGTTAGAGCTGTTTCAAATTCTTTTTTTAAAATTGTGCAGTACAGTAATTTAGAGTGTATGGAAAGCAACCCAGTTATTCAAGGATTGCTTTAGTGATTTAAAATGTCACCATAACATTGAAGAAGTGGGTTGTGCCCATGAAAGCTCATGGTGCCATCTACATTTTTTTTTGTTAGTCTCTAAGGTGCTGCCAGGACCATTTGTTGTTTTTTAATTTTTTCATTGGTGAAAGTGTAATGCTAGATTCAGAATTTCTTGTTCTATAAATATTTAATTTACAAGATGTGTCCTTTAGTGATGTGTAGGCCGATACTGAGTATTTGATTTCAGTTTCCTTTGACCTTCAATAGGGGATTTTTCTTGATAACAATGGAATTTAAAAGCCTCCACAACAGTCTTTCCTGTACTTTAGTTAAGACAGCTAACTGTTAATCATAATTCACAGTTAAACAATATTTGTAGATTATTCAGTATAGTTTAAGGAATGATTAACAGCTATTACAATAATTAGATATAAGGAATGCTGCTGTGAGTTGCTAATATGCTATGTAAATCTTTTAAATATTTTAATTCTTAACACTTTTTAAGGGGGAAAAAAACCTAAAACCAAGTATAAAAACTTATATCAAGGTAGGGAATGTGGCCCCTGACTGAGAAGGAGAAAGATACTCCTCACATTTCTCTCCTACAACAGAGCCTAAGGGAGCCCAACCTAGTAGATTTTGTGTGCTCCAGCGGGCAGTGGGACAGCAGGGGCTCCCCAGTGCTGGGGAGTGGAGCTAAGTCTCGGGGGCCAGAGGTTCTCTACCCCTGGCCTATACAATATTAAATGTAAGGAATATGCAAATGGAGGATATATTATAAGGATTAAAATGTAATAAACTATGAACAGTAGAAACTTTTATAGATACTAATCAGCCGGTAAATAGTTTGAGGCCCCATTATTTCACTTCAGTTTTCAGTTATTTATAGCTTTCTCTGTAATTATCCCTGTTTTAGTCTTCTTTTAAAATTGTGCAGCACTGCATCTCCCTCCTTGGTCTAGAAGAGGGGTGAAGGTGTGTTTCAGTCAAATGCCACTGATCCACAGAAAAATCAGTTGGGGAACACACACAAGTAAGAAGTGAAAATAAAAAAAGAGAGACATGGACACCTCACTGACAGTCAGTTGTAGCACTGAGGCTCGGGACTTCCAGCACTTTGAGACTTGCCGTGGGGCTGGAACCCAAGCGCTGGCTTGCCCCTGGTTAAGGGGAAGCCCCAAGCTTGCCAGGGGCCTAGTCCAGCCTGCAGGCCATCGATTCTTCACCCCTGGTCTAGAAGGACTAAATAAGACATCCTTCAGATCTTTGTTAGCACTCTTCCTTAGCTAAATCAGCAAGGTTATTTCCCTCTGTCTGTGATGTGAGTGCACTATTCCCCACACATCCTCAGTTTCTGAATACAGCTGGTATTCTGGAATCTAACTTAATAGATAATCTGATCTAAAGACAAATTATTATGCATTTCCCAGGATTTCTTAAATGCCTTTGCATCTGCTATATTTCTATTTTTAACTAGAAGAGTATTTGTAGTGGTTGAAAGATGGTTGAGCCTTTAAGTGACACTCTCAGGTTAAAATTCATATTTCCTTTTCCCTCTTAAACTGTTTTGCTTTTTAACTTTTGCATTTCTGTCAGTTTGGACAATTAAAATACTGTTCAATTTCTAATCGCCTTTAAGTGCTCATGTGCTAGCATAACACCTTATTGTTTGGGTTGTAGGTTTTATATATTTTTTTAATTGTAAAAAAAATGTTAGTTTGTAAAAAGCATGTTCTTTCAAAACCAAAATTTTAGCTCAAATTTGATTTGAGAAAAATGCTTTTTTAATTGGATGCTATCTTTAAGAAACTTGTCAAATATTTTTTTAAAAGGAAAAGATCATGAAATGTCTATATTGTCTGTTTTGCTAAACTATTTAGGATTCAACAGTCAATGAAAATTTAAAGAAAAAAAATCTAACCATTAGAGAATGGCAGGATTCCTAGACAATTTCCGATGGCCAGAGTGTGAGTGTATTGACTGGAGTGAAAGAAGAAATGCAGTTGCTTCAGTGGTTGCAGGTGTACTGGTAAGTATTCAGAGTAGACAAGAAAACTAGATTTGTCATCTTGTTTAATGTGGCATTAATACTTCATTAATCTGTCAAAATAAATAAAATGTTCCTAGGCCAAATCTTATTAAATAGCAGTGCTAACTGCATTCTTAAACCTATATATTTTCACATTTTACAAGTTTGTTTAGCAAAACCTTTGGACTACGTCTTTACTGCAAGTTCTTCTGGCAGAAAATATGCTAATGAGCATAAGTTGCGATCTCATTAGTATATTTTCTGCTGTTTCTTTTTGTGTAAGGGGTTTTTGCGCAAAAAGAAGCAGTGTGGAAGGGGTTTTTTTGCGCAACCCTCCTGTTTTGCACAAGATCCTTATGCCTCTCCGTCCACACTGCTTCTTTTTGCGCAAAAACCCTTTGTGAAAAAGAAATGGCAGAAAATATGCTAATGAGATCATGGCTTATGCTAATGAGTCCCTCATTAGCATATTTCTGCTGAAAGAATTTGCAGTGAAGACAAAGCCTTGCAGTTCACCTGAATCTGATGTACTGCTTCCTTTTCCGGTACTTTTAAAAAGTGTTAAATTATTGGAAAGTATGTATTCACTTTCAAAGACTTTAATGGCTATATACACATCCTACTTTTAACATTTAAAGGAGTATTGAAAGTTAGATTCCTATCTCTGGAATGATGCCAGCTGCAGTCTCTTATTTATTTTTTAAACACCTTTATATTTTCTCCCATATTGCACCTTACACTTGAGAGAGAACTCCCTATAAACATCCACAAAACTAACTCATTATCCTCCATCATATTTGTTCTTAAAACTCTTCTTTGCTGTGAGGCATACAATGTGATTTGTGTGTTGAGACTGCAGCCGATCAGGCTATCCAGAATTGTTTCTTCACACTCCCTTGTTGGTTGGTCAGCCTGTCTTCACCTGTTGTTGTCTCTTATATTTAGCATTGAAAGATCACTGGGCATAGCCTTGTTTTTTGTTCTGTTTACTACATGACTAGGACTCCTATGTGATGTGTGTGTCTGGCATAACAAGGTATATTACAGCACTTACATTTTACCTGGCTATGTCATGCATATATTGGGAGTATATGTTCATATTTTTAAGGCAATGAAGGTAATCTAGCCAAGTCTTTTTCTTTAATGTTAATAGATTTATAGCTAAATTCCAAAAACTGCATTGAAAATGTCAGAAGTTAACTTTTTTCAGTTTCACTGGATTACAGAACGTACATGCCAACAAACTTTATTTTTTAAGCATGCAGTTGTGAAAAGAAGAATATTGTTAGTAACATGCACAAAATATTAAGCTCTCAGCATGTATTCTCACCCAGTCAGCTTCAGAATACTATGTCATGGTTTCATTGTTTCTCTAGTTTTTCACAGGCTGGTGGATAATGATAGATGCTGCAGTAGTATATCCTAAACCAGAACAAATGAACCATGCATTCCACACCTGTGGAGTGTTTTCCACATTAGCTTTTTTCATGTAAGTATGCTAGTGATAATTCCATATTTAAAAAGATACTTGCTTCTGCAAATGTATAGATGCCTAGTTGTACAGAATGGAAAACTTAACCACCATTCTACAGTCTAGATTTGAAGTGGCCCAGGACTACTTTGAAAAATTTTGAAGTGGCCCCTGGGCAAAAATTATTGCCTACCTTTTCTGTAAACCATTAGTTGTAATTAGTAATTGAGTACCTAATGCTACTGTCTTCATCACAATCATCCCACAAACCTATTTGGGGTGGCTTTAACTTTAAAAAAATGCATTTAACTTAAATTGAGAATATATTACAGATATACTTTTTTAAAAAGGACACTTAAACAAGGCTCAGATCCTTATTGCCTGGCAGTCATGCATCTTCTAAGAGCATACCATGGACTTCACTGAAGTTCTGTGTGGGTCTAGTAATCTGCCCCCGTGGGTCCATTGGCAGGATCTGGTCTAAACAAAGTGCTTAAACTGTGTGACTAGAAAGGAATAAGCTGCCTAATAACTTAAGGTTTAATTTTGTTTTTAACAATTTTCATATGGATTTTCTCATAAGCTTTAGTCTTATAAACATATATTTGAGGGTTTTTTTTGTCCCAGGATAAATGCTGTATCAAATGCACAGGTGAGAGGAGATAGCTACAGCGATGGATGTCTAGGAAGAACAGGTCAGTGATTTATTTAATCATCATTAAAAGAGCTAAATGAAAACAACTATGGTTTGTAATGAATTTTATGATAACCTCATAACATTTACAAAAAAGTTCCCTTCTTGTTATCCCCTGAAAAATATTTTCCCCCATTTTTGAAGTACGAACATGAATTCTGTAGTACAGTCACTCCAGTTTGTGGACTGGAAAAGTGGCTGCTACCCATCCATGCTGTCTATGTGGGAGGTGGGGGGATTCTGCAAATCCAGTGTCCCTCTTTCCCCCCCAAAACCTTCCATTAGTACTGGGTTATTTCAAGCCAGCACAAAGCCCAACTAGTTGAACTTGGAGAGTGTAGACATTACCCTGCATGGCCATTCTGTAACTGTTTGCTCAGGGCTTCTATAGGCAGGCAGGGCTGCCATGGGGCTCTTGTGTACAGGGTTTATTTTCACTTTTTACACATTTCTCTGCATTTTTTACATACAGCAAGATTTAAAAAAAAAAACACAGTCCATCCCAGGCCTCATCACCTGCTCATGTACCCTTGCCTGTTAATATTGGCTGGATTGTACCTCTATTTCTGTTCATGATGATCATTTGCATATAGCTATTCCTTCTCCCACTTCCACAAGGTGCAGGCTGTTCTTTGTCTGGAGCCTGTATGGAATGGAGACTCAGTGAACTCCAGGCTGCGGCCAGAGGGGTTCACATGAATTAAGATAACATAGCTAGGAGTTCTGTTATCTCTTCTTTTGGAATTCCTCTCCCACCCAGGTTACACTTGGAGATTCACTGCTGGGATGTGGGGAGTGCTGTTGGGGTCAGAGCCATACTTGAGGCACTGGGCCTGTTCACAGATGGCCCTGGACTTTTGTGAATACCTGGGGATCCTCCAGATTTGGTTGCAGAACCTGCAACCTGTTACATCAAGCGAGGCTAATACTGTCTGTCTTCTCCCTGGGGCGATGATGTGTTCAAAACTCTGCCAGGGTAACCTAGTGGAGATTATTTTTCTCCCAGAGCTTCCCTCCATGTACAGGATGAGCTGAGCAGGACCACTCTTTTTATAATACATGTTCTTCTACTGATCAGAAAATTATTTTTAAAACTTTTAATATTTTCTTGCAGGTGCTCGTGTATGGCTCTTTATTGGTTTCATGTTGATGTTTGGTTCACTTATTGCTTCAATGTGGATCCTTTTTGGAGCATATGTCACACAAAGTAAGGCTCTTTTCCTACTGCATTTTAACAGAGGGAGGGACCATTTCCAAAGCGGCAGCAAAAAAGTCTATAGATACAGTACCTGTTTAATTTCTACTGTTGATTCAATGGCAAATTCCACCTCCAGTTAGGGATGCAAGCTTTCTGCAGTCAGGGGATGGTACTCTGGCCTGGCCAGAGTAAAGCACCTCCCTATCTCTGGTGAACCCAGCCTGGCTCTAGCAGCTCCAACCCTTGGCAGGGCTTGGCCCAGCCAGGCCGGAACAGCCTCACGGCATGACAGGCCTGGCCCAGTTGGAGCAGCCCTGCACCATAGGTTAAGTAGCTCTGCACTGGTTAAGTAGGATTTTACATCCCTACCACTGGTATACATGTATATCTTCTGTTGATGATGTTGTGATTTTTTCAAGTTCAGAATATCAGGTAAGTAAAGGAGCCATAGTATTGCTCAGACTGAGAAACTGTAAATGTAATTCTTAGCTCTTTATTATACTGATTTTAGAGACTTATTGTGAAGAAACAACTACATACATGTAATGCTATGTAGTCTATAGTCTTGATGCTTGAACTTATGTTACTATGTCTACTAAGATAACTTTCCATCCCTGTGAAACTTTGAATATTTGTGTTTAAGCATACAAAACTAGTACAGGCAGGCCCCGGGTTACGTACAAGATAGGGACTGTAGGTTTGTTCTTAAGTTGAATCTGTATGTAAGTCAGAACTGGCATCCAGATTCAGCCGCTGCTGATAGTCTTGATGCTTGAACTTATGTTACTATGTCTACTAAGATAACTTTCCATCCCTGTGAAACTTTGAATATTTGTGTTTAAGCATACAAAACTAGTACAGGCAGGCCCCGGGTTACGTACAAGATAGGGACTGTAGGTTTGTTCTTAAGTTGAATCTGTATGTAAGTCAGAACTGGCATCCAGATTCAGCCGCTGCTGAAACTGATCAGTTTCAACAGC